CTCACGAGAATATTTTCCTTTGCTAATCACCTGTTACTGATTGAACCGAATAAATTCGACAAGCTGTTGAAAACTACTAATGCTTTCACTTCCTGTCGAAAACTGTAATGGATTCTGGACAACAGTTGAAGTTAACTAAAAAATGCCATTAGAACTAACCTAAGAATGTATGAAAATGAGTACCTTGCTTTCAGATAACGCTAAACTGAAGAACCCTAAGCGAGCCATACTTAAAAAGTAAATCTCAGTGGCCATCAATAGGATTGAAGTAAGAAAAATACTGCTAAGCTTGATTCTTCTCAGGAGCAATATCTTTACGACATTATCGATGAACAGTTTCTTTCGATTGCACATCAACTAAAGCCATCGACACATGAGAAGACTGCAAATGTTCTATTCTATATTTTTTTCCACATTTTCTAGGTGAAATAGGTACAAGATTAGGTTTTCTGGAGTCGGTTTCCAATCACTGATACATGACATTTCAGGAAAATAATGGTCAGAGCGAAGCAGCATACTATCTTGTAGCTGATTCTATAAGATTACAAGCACAAGTCATCATGGTATTACATACGAGTGATTTTCTTATCATTTTTTTGTCCTTACTATGAACATCTATTATTTTTGAATACCCAACTGATTCAATCATGCTTGTGGATTCCGTCTTAAGGAATTGGATCGTATGTCGAACTACCCTGGAGAGCGACATTTTTTCTGAAAAAATTAATCGAATTCTACCTGCATTTCGTCGCAATCTTTGTGATCGAATTCCAAATAGGATAGTGCTGGACAAGGTCCGATCGGTTCCTGTCAATGTCAATTATTTGATATCCCCGAAATCGCTCGGATCTTTCTCTTGGAAAGAACGAATCCTGCAAAATTTAACGACAGATCTAGCGTATTTTGTCGAAACCTGGCATCTAGAAGCCGGATCACATTATGTCGGACACATACCAATTCGATTCTGTTAGATCCACGTATCAGGTCACGTCAGATGTAGCGAAATATGGCGGATGAAACAAACTAGAAGATATAAGAATACTCTGATTGCCGACAGTAAAACTAAAGTAGTTTGTAACAGAAAAATCTATTGATACTTTTTCTATTTTGAGGAATAAGTTTGTTCAACTAGGTGTAGTGTGTTGGTATCGTATGTAAAAGTAACGATGTGTAATTTCGGGTGTGAGTGTGTGTATACGGGTTTAAATGGAATTGGTTGAACAGATGAAGAGAAAAACTGCACGAACAGATACATGCATATCGGCACCGATATAAAGATAAAGTATCCTTGAATCATACAAGATGTATTCCGACAGATTTTTTAATTAGTCAACTATTTTCGGGAAAACTAAATACAGCTTTTAGATACAGAATTCAATGCTCTGCCGAATAATATTATTTCTATTTATTGAATAGATTTTGAAAGCAACAAACAAAAATCGATTATTAGTATGATATTATCGCATGATATGATCTATCACAATACGAAAATTAACTTTTTTTAAATCAATCAAACGTGTACGATAAATCTAAACAGTTGTTATAGTTGCAAAATTTATACGCTATTGATTGACATAAATTTTATGCAAGGATGTGGTGAAGAAAACAAAAAAAGGCAAGAGGAAGTGCAAGAGAACTTTTCTAGACGGTTGAAAGATGCATGCTCCATTTTTAAAAGTACAGATATTATAGAAATACTTTTATTAATTAAGCTTTTTCACTGAATCGCATTAGTAAATGGACGAACAAATTTTATTTTGTAATCATGTGAGTATATTCAACGCATACACTTTATACACCATCTGATAGAGACTTGAATTCTACATATCATATACCTTCCTAAGATCGCAAGGCATACGTTATTGATAAGGTCAAACTTTTTTTTTAATAAGGAACCGCAATAGATGATAGTAATCAATCAATGAGATTACACTACGTCTTAGATAAAATTTGTAGTACTAGATTGTGTTTTTTTTTTGTAAGCTTAAAATTTGAGATTTAAAAATAAACTTTGGGATTTTTTTCACTCAGCGACAAAGTTTGCTGTCAATAAATAATTGATATGATTTTATTTATTCATCATATAATCTTTGAAAGTAGTAGAAGTTTTGATTCAGTAATACACTTGTATCGAACTTCGTATTGAAAGGTCATCATGTCGATATTTTTATCCTCTACAATGATACTTTTTGTTCCTGTAATTTTCTGCTTGGTGGTTGTGTTCGAGCAATAAGATTTTGGGTCTTTTTTATTTTGACTCGTCATTTGGTAGTGGTTTCTCATCGCTATTTATTGGTGAATTCTTATCTTAGCCTGGAGTAGTGGGTGTGCCATAAACTCGACCTCGTTCGCTTTTTGCGTATAATTGTTTATATTGCACTAACAATTCTTATCTTTTACACCTTTAACTATTTCTTTGTCAAGGTCAACATATCGAGATAATAAATAGGCAATACATCGTTTGTTTTTTTCTTTGTTAGATCTCGATATATTCAGAACATTTTCAGCGAAAATGATTAATTTTAGCTCTCGATATGGTTCACTATTTCAATCAACAGGTGTAAAAAATCTTACTGTAAGTTGAATTTTATCTATTCTATATTATTCAGTTTTTTTTTTAAATTAATCTAGACTTCGAATTTGATTCGATGTGCGAGTGCTTCATCAAAACCTGTAAGTTAATTTTAGTTTAATTGAATAAAAAATCCTTCTATTCTATTTTAAATAGCCAACTGTTAAAAATTGGATTAATGGACGCGCTGTCGAATCCAAAACTAATGATTGGATTGAACTTACCAACCCTGTATGTTATTATTTATAAAGATAAAAAATTTCATTTAGTTTCCTTAGGCAACAAATGAAGTTATTGGTTTAGTACCAAAAAGTACTCAAGCTGAAATGAATGAAGCTGTTGAGAGTTGTAAAGAAGCATTTCGTACATGGTCAAGAACAACTATATTACAACGACAACAAGTCATGTTTCGTTATCAAGATCTTATAAAAAAGAATCTAGTTTGTTTAATTTTCTTCTTTTATAAAAAAAAAACATATTAAATTAATTAAAACAAATATTTTAGAAAAAAATTGCCGAAAATATATCAAAAGAGCAAGGTAAAACAGTAACCGATGCTGAAGGTTCATGTTTACGTGGTTTACAAGTGGTTGAATCATGTTGTTCTGTAACATTTTTACAGACTGGTGAAACAATGCATAGTATTGCAAAAGATATGGATATTCATAGTTATCGAGTACCATTAGGAGTTACTGCAGGGTTAGTTAATTTTTATTTTATTTTTTTTTAAACTTATGAAAATTTTCTATTTTAGCATTGCACCATTTAATTTTCCAGCAATGATTCCACTTTGGGTATTCCTAAACAAAGGCAGAGAAAAAAAATCATGATTAATTTTTTGTTTTTGTGTAGATGTTTCCAGTAGCAACTGTTTGTGGAAATACAATGCTTATGAAACCAGTAAGTGAAATTAAAATAAAATAATAATTCAATTTTCATAGTTAATTATTAGTCTGAACAAGATCCTGGAGCATGTATGATGCTGGTTGAATTGGCTAAAGAAGCTGGTTTACCAGATGGTGTTGTTAATTGTATTCATGGTCAACATGAAGGTAAACATAAGAAACAAAAAAATATTTATTTATTTATCTACGTGTTTAATTTTTTAGCTGTTACATTTATTTGTGATCATCCGGATATTCGTGCTATATCATTTGTTGGTTCTGATAGAGCTGTAAGAATTACATTTTTTTTTAATATAAAATTTGTTTATAAAAATCCGATTTAGGGTAATTACATCTATGAACGTGGTTCAATAAATGGTAAACGTGTACAATGTAATATGGTAAATATGATGAAATTCTTTTTTTTTTATATCTTTATTTTATTTTAATTTCAGGGAGCGAAAAATCATGGTGTCATTATGCCTGATGCTAATAAAGAACAAGCATTAAATCAAGTATGTCGTGAAAGCGATGATTTGTTTGTTTTTAATTTCGCTTTTATATTTCAGCTTGTTGGTGCAGCATTTGGCGCAGCTGGTCAACGATGTATGGCATTATCAACAGCAATATTTGTTGGTAAAGCACGTGAATGGATTCCAGATTTAATTGCAAGATCTAAAAAATTACGTGTTAATGCTGGTTATGAACCAGGAACCGATTTAGGACCAGTTATATCAAAAAAAGCTAAAGAACGTGTTCTTGAATTAGTTGAATCTGGTATTAACGAAGGTGCAAAATTAATTTTAGATGGACGAAATATTAAAGTACCCGGTTATGAAAATGGTAATTTTGTTGGACCAACTATTTTACATGATGTTAAAGTATATTTAATTAAAATTTTTTTTATTATTATTAAAAGATGCATAGAAATATTTTTGTTTTTCTCTTAGCCAAATATGGCATGTTATAAAGAAGAAATTTTTGGTCCTGTACTTGTTTCAATGAGTGTTGATACATTAGATGATGCTATAAAAATAATTAATAACAATCCATATGGTAATGGTACAGCTATTTTTACAACAAATGGAGCTACAGCTAGAAAATTCACTCAAGAAATTGATGTTGGACAAGTAAAGAGAATTTGTTTTTTATGTGTTGATATAAAAATTAGAAAGAATTTTTTTTAGGTTGGTGTTAATGTTCCAATTCCGGTACCACTTCCAATGTTTTCATTTACCGGTTCACGTGGTTCATTTCGAGGTGATACGAATTTCTATGGACGAAATGTAAGCAAAAAAGAAAAAAGATATTATTTTGTTTTATTATGAATTTTCTTGTTGTCGTAGGGCATGAACTTTTATACACAATTAAAAACGGTAACTTCATCATGGCGACAAGAAGATGCAACACCAATTGATGTTCAAATGTCAATGCCAACAATGTAATAAAAAACGCAATACAAGAGAGCAATTCAAACTCGATATTCTTCTTGTTTTTTTCATTAAATATTTGTAAACATTCATTTATAAATTTTATTTGTATGTTTACATTGTTGAAAGAATATCGATAAATGATTTTGATTTGATTTCTTTCCAATTATCTGTTAACAAACCAAACGATTCATGTAATTCAATTGTACCAGATCGAATATAGTAACTGCCAGCTAATACCCAATAAGACCAAGACATTGTTTCAGTGAATGATGTTTGAAAAAAGCCTTTAACACAATCAATAAAAGTATTATCACCTGTAAATTGATCGACATTTGTACCAAATTCCGTTAACCAAACAGGAGCTGTATAAGAATGATCAGGTTCTAAGATGAATCCCCATGCATTTTGAATGCCTGCCTTCATTTTATTACATTCAGTTGAATGACCATAATTTGACCATGAGTACCAATGGGCTTCATAGACTATTTTATTTTAGAGACTATCTACAAAGGACATTCGAATGCTTGTTAAGCATTTTTGGCATTAAATAAGATTTAATACTCTTTGTAAAGTATTCTATATCGAAATTCCATATGTACTTACAATGAAAGATGGAGATAAGCCTTAACGAGAGTAGCTTCAGATCTTTTCATTTGCTTCAATCTTGAAATATGAACATCGATTTTGTCCCTATATATTACCAGTCTGGTATATTTTGTCTAAGACCACGCAACTCATTTCTCAAACTCATTGCAATAACATATGGGCGATTAATAGTTTTTTTAGCCATAAATATCAAACCATCAATCCATTGTTCAACATCAAAATATTGATCACCCCAAAACCCATTTCCATCAAATTTATGACAACACCACATAGCTTTACTAATATGATTATCAAGTAAGACTAAAATATTATATTTTCCAAGTGTATTTAAAACAGAATCAAATACATATGAAATACTTTTATGAATAAGTAGTGGATTATTTTCTATAAAACCTTCTAAAGCTAATATTAAATTAAGTCTTGACAATGATTGATAAACAGTTAAATTAGATGAACGTGTTACATCAATCGAATACGTTAAACGTACACAAGTCATATTCATTTCTTTTATAAGTAAAACAATATTATCTATTGAATTATGTTGTAAGCCTTCTGGTAACAATGTTTCCATACTTCCTGGCCAAGTAACACATTTCGTTCGAACTATTATACCATTGGCATCAATTATTGAATTACCCAATGTTGAAAATGGAAATTCATATGAATAAATATTTGATAGAAATAAAGCATAGACAGCAAATATACAAAACAACATTTCTAAGTTTTGTTTTTTTCTTTATTGTAAATATAACCATTGTGAGGCTACCCGAACCCGAACCGGATCATTTAGTTTGGGAAAAAAATAATGATTTTATTGGACACTGTATTCACCAATAGGTATCGTAAAATTCGAAAATCGTCACTAAAAAGGAGCACAAAAAAATGATTTTGGAAATCGCTGTCTTAGTAACAATAATGTGAAATCAGTAGAATGTTTGCTATAACTATAACTTTAATACCTGAGTATTAATATTCTTGCGTAATCAAGTTGATTTTTTCTTACCAAGAAAAAATTACTAACAAAATTAGACTTAATTCAATGCAACTTATCACTTGAATTGAATTGAATTTTCTATAATGAATTTGATATCACTAATACTATAACATACATGAATTTCTGCGAGTCTCAGACGAGGACTTTAAAGGTTTGAACATCATTTTTCCCAATATCTGAACGAGCTGCATCGATTGCTGCCATTTGAAGATTAGCAAAAATTTTTTTAGTGATGATGTTGATATTAGTAATACTAATACATTTACGAATTTCTGCGAGTTTTGGACGGGGTGTATTCAAGTGTTAACATCATTTCTATCAACAACTCAACCAGTGATATCGACAGTTAACACTTAAAAGTTGGCAGAAATTTTTCTAGTGGTGATGTTGGTTAACATCTTGACTAGCTGCATCTATTGATGGCATTTAGAAGTTAGCAGAAATTTCTCCAGTCGTCGTGTTGGTATTAGCAAAACTAAATTGTTGATGAATTTGTTCGAGCCTCAGACGGTGTTTTCAAAGGACAAACATCCTTATCAGTAGCATCTGAACGAGCTGTATCGATTGCTGCCATTGAGAAGTTAGCAGAAATTTCTGTTCTCATGATGTTCGTATTAGTAATACCAATACATTTATGAATTTCTGCAGCTTTTGGGCGGCTTGTATTTAGGTGTTAACATCATTGCTCTCAACAACTCAATCAGTGGTATCCACTGATGACATTTAAAAGTTAGAACAAATTGTTTTAGTAAAAATGTTCGTATTAGTAATACTATACTGTTGATGAATTTGTACGCGTTTTAGGCAGTGATTTTAAAGGTGTGATAATCATTTCCCTCAACATCTGAACTAGGTGCATCGATTGATGGCATTTAAAAGTTAGCAGAAATTTTTTTCATGATGATGTTAGTATTGGTTTGGTTATCCGGGTAGCTTCAACGACCCGTAAAAATATATTTAAATGAAGATCATAAACGAATAGGAGAGAGAAAAAAGAACAATAAATCTGTCACATAGTCACGAAGATAAATGTTTATGATTAGATAAAATGACAGATATAGATAAAATTTTATATCATTCATTTATGTCCATGTAATCGGTTCTTTTCATTATTAGCCATTGCGGTAACAATTTTTCTTGTATCGCCACCAGCATCATGACGTTGGGAATTTAATTCCACTTCTATTTTACTACGTTGTTTACCACCACTATTAACATTAAAAAAAACGAACAAATATATCGTGTCTTTTTTTGTTTTCTTTTTTTTTTTGATACAATAAGTTTACCTTCCAGCATGGAAATATTTTTCATATTGTTCATAAGTATCTTCAGCATTTTGTTCAGCTAAAGCTGTAGCTGATACAGAATTTGTTGATGTCATTGAAATAGATATCTATCAAGAAAAAAAAACACAGTATATATTCATATGATTGCAAACTAAAGGATGTGTTGCAAACAAATACAATGATGTTGAATGATAAAATGCATTTCATTCAATAATAATAAATCCCCTCGATACAAAGGAACGCAAAGAAAAGAAAATAAGCAAAGGAATAATTTGATTGCATTACTATCTTCATCACCTCTAAGAAATGTAGGATAAGAATTGCGCTACTTCCTATTCCTATTACCGATGTTAGTGGCGGTCTTACCAATCTTCTATGATGTCGCTGTGGAAAGAATACGAAAGATACATATAAAGAAATTTACCAGGAATATAGAAAGGGTCACATATGGTTTGAATCAAAGTAAATATAATAAAATAAAGTAAAAGATTAGTCATAGAAAGAAATTTTATTTTCTTCTTTCTTCATAAATAAATATAAATCATCATGTTGAAATTTTTTTTAAATTAATATAAAATGATTCATGAGTAGTAAAATAAATAAAAAGGTCAGCAAATGAAATAACTATAAAATCAGTCAATTTAATCATTGAGTAGTAAATTACTTAAATGATCAGTTATTAATTTTAATTATGTTTGTAGATAGATTTAAAAATTAGTAAATACAATTGATTAACGGTCAATTATATTAAACGCTCAGGATCAGTAGAAAAAATGAAATAGTTATAGAGTGAATCACTTTTATTCTTCTTTTCCTTTCTCTTCAGCTGTTCTACATATGTTTTTATTCTTTTAACCTATACATTTTGACAATAAGAAGAATCATGGTTTTTATTCTTTTAACCTATACATTTTGCCCATAAGAAGAATCATGGTTTTGATTCTTCTTATCATTCATTATCTGAAACAAAGAAAAAGAAATTTCTCGACTTCTTTCCTAATAGTTATCTGTATCTATCCCGATGTACAAACATATGTTATTTTTCAACTAAAAATAACTTATTTCACGTTTACAGAATTTGACGCATTTGTAATTACGAAATACAAGTGTCTCGATATGAAAGTACCCGAAAACCAAAAGAATCAAACTGCTGGTTTAAAAAAACATGCATTTGATAATTATAGCGAAGCAAATGCCTTAATTAAAAATTAATCGTCAAAATATTACACAAACTATTCAGAAGATCGGAGAAAAAGTATATTATAGATGCAAGAAAATCGAATACCGTGGTCTCTAGTGTAGTGCAAGTATTTATCTCTTAAATTATGCAGTTCGTGATAAAGTAACTGTTTATGAAACATAAGTTGAATACGAACATCATAATGGCACAAATCGTGGTATTGATGAAATTGTTAAAAAGTGCCTAGAAGATTTATTTAATGATCGTATAAAGAAAGCAAAATTAATTCTTCTAGTACTTCACTCAAGAATAAAAATAATACCAACGTTAGTACATCTAAACAATTATCTTTTCTATGATAGAAAAAAGAAATTTGATTCTCATAGAGTGAGTTTAGGTGAATTAGAACAATCGTTTGAAAATAATCACAATAATCTAATGTATTAAAACGAATCTTTTGTTGTATCATGCAAGATATCATATGACAATGATGAATATGGAGATGTAAAATATGATGATGAAAACAAATCGCGTATCTGTGTATTATTTGTTCGTTTACTCAACATTGCAGTGATATCATAAAAATATACTTGCTGATGCTACTGATAAACTATCTATATCGTCTCTTTTTTTAGCAACTGCGACGCAATTATACCCCAGTAGCAATCACACTGTGACTCGTAATTGCGAAAAACCTATGACGTAGTTACCGTAGTCACGTTAGAAAAATTGTCGCTGCACGCAACCATAATTTCTTTCATCGTAACTGCGTCGTATTTTTTCGCAATTACGACTACATTGTGATGTAGTTACAATGGAAGAATCATAGTAGCGTGTAGCTATGGTAAAAAAATCATAGTTACATTGTAATCGCATCGGCATTCGGTCGTAATCGGAAATTGACTAGTATGGTAAGGTTTTTCAGTACTGATTATTGGAATGCCTGGTTCGAATTAAGCATGTCATCTATTTTGTTGAGCAATATGTGCTGATGAAAAAGAAAACATTCTCAATTTATCTTCAATAATCTTCAAATTGGTATGCAAAAAAGTGTATAAGTATCGCTATTAATTTGAAATATTGTAAATCACCAGCGGTAGCAAAGACAGAATCGATCGGTGAAAAAAGAAAAGGAAGTAGACCAGCAGAGGTTAAATCTCCTTTACTAATACAATAATTCAATGTTTGCCTTTTTTCAATTATTTTTTAAGCTTCTTTGTATTTATTCTATAGATTTTTGATATATTTAAATTTATTTTCTACTAGTAAAGCATATTTTTCTAATGATAAATTTTTGTAGTTTTTACTACTATCTACATTTAATAAAGTGACTATTTTATAATTAATTCTCGTGTATCTACTACTGAACGTTCAACGGTTATACTGACTATTAAATTGGTAGCCTTTATTTAATGTATATACAACATTCAAGATTAAGAAAAAAAAGGTGAAGAATTATAAACTGATAATTGATAAAATAATACAAAAGTCATTTTTATTGAGAAATAAACTTAAAATCCTTTTTTGTGCGTTCTTCTCTCTCTCGAATTTTTTGACCTATGAAAATGCTTTGTTTATCAATCTAATCTTTGATTATTCAATTTATGCAATAGTAATTCTTTCAAAAACTCGAATTAACCATTGTGTTAGTATCTACGAGTGAAACTGTTAATAGCCAATCAAAGTGATATTTTGCTCATAAATAGGAATCCGTGAGAATACCAAGGTATTTATAGAAAAATCAAAAACAATGAATTTTCATTTTTATTTTTTTACATAAGCAGGTCTCTCGAGTCTGAATATATGCTGAAAATTTCAGTCAAAACTGATAGTTCCTTCTCGAATTCTTGAATATTTAAAAAAAAGAACAATTGAATGCTACCAAAAAGTCGTGAAGCCTACGTTTTTTTTTGGTATTCAATGCATCGAGAGAGAACTATACGCTTTAGGCTGATAGTTTGAGGGTATCTTAAAGATTAAGAGACCTATTTATGTACAAAACTTTAGATGAAAATTTCTTCGTTTTTGTTTTTCTATAAATATCTTGACATACATCAAAAAACAAGATAAAACGGTTACAGCTCCATTACGAAAGCCTATAGGAAGAAATTCTTTCAAACCTTTCTCGTCTTGTTTAGTCCTACTTATGAGAAAATTATCACTTCGATTGGCAATTAACAGTTAGATATATTCTCTCATTAGATGAAAATCTTCTATATGAATTTTATCTCCAACAATGAACATGGTTGTATTTA